TTCTTTGATATTTTAAAAGATTACTAACCTTATCAGATGTGGGTACTCTTTTCACCAGGGTAAATCTAGGCTTTTACAAACAAAATATGTTTTCTCATCCTGTTTGATCTTTGCCCACTTCTTTCCATAAATTCTTGAGAGGTTCCATCTATCATTGAAGGCACTGCTAGAAAGTCTTTTACTCTTTTGTGGATACAGTGCACCACTGAGGCTACCTATTTGTCATATTTTGCTCTCTCTTACTACATATCTGGATCACTTCCTTTTCTAGGAATAAAGTAGAAATACCGTATATTGGCAATGAAATAGTTTAAAAAAATACACCAATACTCATAACACTGAGATTTAAATAACATACAAATAAGGAAATAAACATTTGCAAAAAAATTATTTCCTTTTTTTCAATGTTTATTCCCTCAATCTCTTATTTATGTTGTATTGCTATGGCTAGTATGTTCAGACCTGTATCACCTAATAGTGATTACATTGAAGATTCTTTCTTTACCCTCAATCTTATTGGAAAGGCCTCCCATATTTTTCCATTACAGGTAATGTTAGCTCTTGGTTTTAGAAACTATTTACCACATATTAAAGAAGGATCCATTTATCCTATTATTTTTAATTTCTTAGCATAAAAATGAATTTAGCAAAATTACATTTAGTTAAAAGTTTTTTTGTATCTATTGATATATAATCATGTGGTTTTTGTTTTTATTATTAAGATGGTTAATTATATTTATAGTTTTTTAATAACTTTGGCTATTGAAAAACCAACCTTGGTATAAAATTAATCTGGTTACAGTATACAACATTTTAAATATGTTACTGCAGCCTCTTTGCTAATATTTTATTCAGTATTGTCACATCTGGTCTTAGCTTCCTTCTGATCAGCCCCATTGATTCTTCAATCCAAACTACCCTCAAAGCATGCCACTAGGCTTTTAGTGACTACAATTTTTTGCTTCATTAACTAATTCCTACTTTTCTAAAAAATATAAGGTTAAAGTGTTACCATGGTTCTAGCACAGTCTGTTGGGATTTTTAACTGAGGCTAATGGGGAAGAAGAGAGTGGCAGAAAAAAGATTAGGTTAATTAAGGAAACCAAATTGTAGAATATTTAAGTACATGTAGTAACAACACAAGGGCCACAAAGTACTATGAGTCTTACTGGACCTGCTTTAAGGGACATAGATACTTATCTATCTATCTATCTATCTATCTATCTATCTATCTATCTATCTCTATCTATCATCTATCTATGCCTACCCCAAGCATGTGAATGGGCAGATGAGAACAATTTGCTTCAAAAGCACTTAGAATTTGGTTAGACATGGAAGAAATCATGGTCATCCACTGCATCCTGGGCCATTAACAGTCATCTTAATTTTTGTCTTGCCACTGGATTTCAGTGACTCTGGAAGAATGAGGCTGATGACTTTGTGCAACTGGGCTTCACATAAATTCAATTCATGCACAAGTTAAGTCATCAGTGATATCTCTTTGAAAACAAAGAACAAACAACAAAAACAATCAGAATCTAAAAAAGGAATTTTTATGCTCAGGACACCAAAAATCACCACTAGGGCAAGTGTCTTGAATTGAGTTGGGCAAATGAGGTAGGTGTAGGAAAAGGGGGTGGGGCATTACTGTTTGGTAGGGAAACAGATCCTGGGACCTTGGGTATGAGGTAGATGGTGAAGACACTGAGGGGAGTAGAGAAATTTATCATGCTGGTATCTAGTAGCCTGGCATTTGAACAAATTATGGCTTCTACCTATATGTTTAACTTTGTTGTTTCTATACTTCCAAAGGACTGAAATTGCTGTTGGGGTACCTAAACTCAACATCCTTGGGCAAAACTCTAGTTGTTCCGCTCTTGTTATAGCTTTGATCCTAAGAGCATTGGGGAAGGAGTGGTGGTAGGGACCTCTGGTTGCAGGAAGCACAATGACACTTCTTTACACTGTCACCTTCTACCATAATCCTAATGAAAAGTGGATGGCAGGATACTTCATGTGGTGGTGGTAGTGGCTCCTGATTCTTTAGCAGTGAGGGGCCTTCATCCAACTGAGTTGTTAATCTAAACATTTTACCACCTCCCCTGCTCAAGAGAAGTTCTGAGAGAATGCAGCTTTAAGTTGATGATTTCTTTGCACATGCCCAATATAGAGTGGTCACCAAAAGGGTGGGACCTCAATAGGGAAATTTGACAGCTTCTCTATTCTTTCTGAATAATGTTTTCATTAATGGGCTTTCCCTCCCATTTGCTTTGTTCAAGAAACTTAAAAATAAATATCTACTTTATTGGGTATTGCCATATTGTGAAACACATTGCAGTCAAATATAAAGGATCTTTGGATTGTTGGTTTTTTTTGGGGGGGGGTTCTGATCCTTTTCTAAACTAATATGAATTATTTTAAGTTAATAGTACTTGAAGTGTGGATATTTCATTAAACCATTTAATGGTTACAGAGTTATAGAAGCTTAGGGCCACAAAGGAATTTATAGAAATTATTTAATCCAGTCCCCTTATTCTACACAGGAGGAAAGTGAAACAAGAGGATGGCTAATTTGCCCAGCATCATACAGTTTTTTTAGTGGCAGAGCTAAGGTTAGAATCTTAGTTTCCTAACTACACAGCATTACATGATATACTGTGGCTACTTGAACAGTATAAAATTAAGTTATATCTGTGTGTGAGTCTAATTACAAATAATAAATTAAAGCTTTAAGGGGAGGGTGGGGGAAGGTGCTAGAGAAGGTATGGACACAACCCACACAGAAAATTTTGTTGATTTGAATCCTTCTGGTTTTGGGTGGAGTCAGAGGAATTAAGTGTAATTGAATGGGAGATGTGTTGTTGTTCAAGGTCAGTAAAGAGACAATGGCCGGGAGGTGTGGGCCTTGAGAGGTGACTCCCTGAGGGTCGGGTGTGGTGATCCAGGATAGGAAGCGGGGAGCCCTGCGTGGTGACCCTGGGGGCACAGATGTAAAAGACCTTGGAATTTCTAGTGTAGAAGAGAGAGCCCCCAGGGAGGGCAACCCTACCCAGGTGAAAATTGACAGGAGAGGCAAGTGGCAATCAACTCAATAGAAGTGTGTATTTAGGAGAGAGATGAAAGGTAGGGTGGAGGGATACAACTATGAAAGACAGGGAACCAAGCTAGAGCTGGCACCCACATAGCCCTATTAAGAAGACTGGAGGGGCAGTGTCTAAAGGCATTCCACTTGATTCTTAGAATGTATGGATTGTCCCCTTTCCCTACAAACTGAATTTGCCGCTGGAGTTAAGAATTTCCTTAAAGCTTTGGTTGGTAATAGCTTAAATAGACCAGAATAGAGGAGAGAAACTAGTTGAGAGAGTTTCTGTCTGCATAGTTCCAGAGTTCAAGTGCTGCTCAAGGAGAGGAATTTTGATCTGGAGTTTTTGTATTTATTCGAGCAGAAACGACCCCTTACAATCCCAGCACCAGGAGACGCTGGGGGTCGGGTGGAGGCGGGTGGGGGGGTGGGGGGAAGAAGGGGTAAAGCTCATCTGGGCTGAAATTAAAAAGTAAGGGTGAATTAACAAAGGTGGGTAGGTAAGGATCACAATACAAGAGATTAGGCAACAGGAGGGCTGTCCTATTTAGAGAGCGAAACAAATGGTGGTCGTGGTGGGTCTGGGACAGAGTTCAATACCTTTACCAAAGCAAGATAATAGAATAAGGAGAAGCCGTCTACCTTTAATACCTACCTTGCCCCATATACATACATGTGAGAAAGTGCAAAATATAGTTCACCACATGTGCTTTCTATATACATATATATCTATATCTGCGATACGTGCAATCGGCTCAATATACAATTCAATGTATACAATAACATATTGAATTTGAACTTTATGCATACTTCCAAGTATAAAATAGGTTTCATATTCTGCATATTGTAAAATATATCAATATAATATAGCATACGTAAATATAGAAATTCTGTGTGTATATATGTGATATATGTGTATGTGTAGAGAGAGATGTGTGAAATAGAGCACATGTTCTCTTGATCATACATACTATGGCTATTGACCATGCCTACTGCAGGGGACAGTGGAAGAACAGTTGCAGCTTAGAAGTGAAAGAGGAAAAGAAAGGTCATGAATAATAGGCTCTAGTTTTGGAAAAATCCTCCCACTAGGAGATAGCCGCTGAAAAAAATTTAGGGGTGGGAGCTGGGAGGGGGAAATCTCCCCTAGGATCTGTCTTTTAATCTAAGAATTACTAATAAGATCTTAATTCATCTAATAGTGGATTCATTTCATTCAAGACTCTGGCTAATTCTGCAATACAGCTGCTCGTTTGTAAAGTACCCAGATCCCTTCCTCCCTGTCCCCTCGTTTCACTGTTTAGACCTCAGGATACAGGCTATTTCCAATAGGAGTTGCGTAATGGGGATTAAAACCATCATCATTTATTAAATATCTACTATGTGCAAGGAAGGAAGCTCTGGAACCTCTGAAGAAACGCAGGGTTCTTCATAGTGCTGTAACTGAGCATCATTCAGTACCTCGTGTCTGATTAGATCATTTCAAACCCAGGGAATGCCTGGGATGTTGCAGACTTGGGCCACAGTTGAACAGAGAGCAAAATACCTGATGCGGTCATCCTGCCCCTCCTCCAGCTCCACCCCTACAAAGTGTCGCATTTTAAACATCCTCTGCTTTTCCCTTTGCCTGAAGGAAGCGCGGGACCCTCTCATTTTGACTCTTGCAAACGGCTTGCCTAAAGGAGAAGGCTAAAGCAGTGCCCCGGTACTGGGCATGCTGCAGTCCTTCCTGCGGAAAGCTGTTTTAGAAAACCTGACGACTGTCCCTATTCCTTTTTTCTCCCTTCTTCTGGATGGGAGAGGCTCATGGTGGGGAGCGGGGGATGGAGGAAAGAGGGAAAAAAAGGCAGAACCGACTACCTCGAGGCTTATCCCCCTTAGAGCTTAGGAACGAGGATAGGGGTGAGCTAAAGATGAATGGGACAGGGCTGACCGCAGCAAGGCGCTGGCGCTCCCACGACTACTTAGAGCTGCCCGCCCCGTTTCCAGGGGAGGAGCAGCTAATCGCGCAAGCGTCCGGGAGATGCCGAGAGGGGCGGGAGGAAAGGGTAGAGGAGGAAGCAGGATTTAAACGAAGGGCGGTGACGCCACACAAAAGATTTCTATAGGCTCAAGTGAGGTTACGGCAAAGGCAACGAGGCGAGCGGGGTAGGGAGGGGGGAAGGGAAGAGGAAAAACCTCCCTTCAACCCATGCAGCGTTTGGGTGGCAGTGGCAGCGGGGGCTCCCCCACTACTTTGCACCCAGGGAGGTGAAGACGCGCTGGGAAAGGAAACATTTTTTTTTGTTTATTTCCACCTCTGCGCCTTCCCTCCCCTCTCCAATCTTCATCTCCCCTTCAATTTCTTTCTTTTTTCCCCTCGCTCGGAAGTTGGTGGTTTACCAAAATGGCAGGAGCTAGGGCCCGAGCTGGTTCCCGCAGCAGCCCGGAGACCCCTCCCTTGTGCGCGGGGACCTTCTAAGTTCTAAGAGGCCACCGCTGCCGGAGGGAGCCCGCATCCGGGGGGGGATGCGCTTGAGCCGGGGCCTCGGGAGAAAGCCGCCACAGCCGCAGCACCAGCCGTTGGAGAGGATGGATTCGGAGCGGGAGCAAGCTTGGGGAGGTTTGATGCATGGTCCGGGAAGGGGCGCCGCTTCCCAACCCAGCCGCGGAAAGTGAATCCAAGCCCTGTGGAAAAGGGCTGGGTAGGTGGGGGGTAGTAGAGAGAAGAGGAAGAAGAAAGGCAACTCCCCGCCACCACGGCCCGAGCCCCGAGGGCGCCGGGTGAGGCGCGCCCGGGCGTGGTGTGCTAGCTAGTGGCCCGCGGGCGCCCGGCCCCAGCCAGCGCTAAATCTGTGCTCAGCTCCCTCCGGACTCGACTCTTGCAGCCTGGCTGACCAAGGCGAGCCACACCCTCCGCTGGGTGGCTGCTGCTGCTGCTGCTTCCTGATAGCCGGAGACTGTAGAAAGAGAGAGAGATGCGGGGCGGCTGCTCCCGCCGCTCCTTGTGCGTGCCTCCGTCTCTGCCGCTCCAAAGTGACTTCTCTTTCGGTTGCGTTTCTAGAGACACACGTGCGCCTAGGTGCCCGAGCTTGGCCCTCTAAGTGCTGAGAACAGAAGCGGGTTTGTGCATCCGCAGTCTCCGGAGCTCCTCCCTAAGAAAAAGGATTTTGATTTCAAAGAAAGGAAGGAAGGACAACTCCCAGCCTTCCCCACCCCAGTCGGCTTGGCAGGGTCATGCCCAGGAAGGAGGCGGCGGTGGCCCTACGGCGGAGACAGGACCGGTGCGGACTTTCCCGGAACCCAACTGGTGGGGAGTACTAATTTTGTTTTTTCTTGCATTTTTTTCTTCCGGCGGTTCATGGTGCTTGCAGCCCCTAGGCAAAGAGGCGGAACGCAGAAGTGCTTCCCTCCACCCCTAAGCAGGTCGTCCGTTTTCTCTTCTTTGCTCGCTTCCCGCCCTGTCTCTATCTCGGCCGCCGCAGCCCTGGTGCCATCTGCTCGCGGCGGTGGATGGCATGATGGTGCGGAGAAGGCAACGCGGCCCTGCCCAGCTCAGTCGGGACGGCTCCGGGGGCGGCAGCGGCGGCGGTAGCGGGCTCCCCAGCGGCATGCCAGTGCTCCCCCGGCGCTATGGCTAGCGGGAGTTCGGGGAAGTCTACTAGCGAGGCGGCTTCTCCTCCTGCTCCTGCTAGCGGTGCTTGTCACTCGAGTGCCGTCGGGGTCGGCTCTCAGCCACGGAAGAGGCTTGTCTCGGTCTGCGACCACTGCAAGGTGAAGATGCAGCTGGTGGCCGATCTGCTGCTGCTGTCTAGTGAGGCGCGACCGGTGCTGTCGGAGGGCTCCACTGCCTCCTCCGGCCCTGGAGGTGAGTCCTTTGAAAAGTGCCGGGACACCATCATCGCCCGCACAAAAGGGCTCTCCATCCTGACTCACGACGTACAAAGTCAACTCAACATGGGCCGTTTCGGCGAGGCTGGGGACAGTCTGGCGGAGCTGGGCGAGCTGGTCGTCTCGCTGACCGAATGTTCGGCTCATGCCGCCTACTTAGCCGCGGTGGCCACCCCAGGGGCACAGCCGGCGCAGCCGGGCTTGGTGGACCGGTACCGAGTGACCCGCTGCCGGCACGAAGTGGAGCAGGGGTGTGGGGTGTTGCGAGCAACCCCTTTGGCAGACATGACACCCCAGTTGCTGCTGGAAGTGTCCCAGAGCCTGTCGCGCAATCTCAAGTTCCTAACGGACGCCTGCGCCCTGGCCAGCGAAAAGTCCCGGGACCGCTTCGCCCGAGAGCAATTCAAACTGGGCGTCAAGTGCATGAGCACCAGCGCGTCGGCGCTGCTGGCCTGCGTGCGGGAGGTGAAGGCGGCGCCCAGCGAGCTGGCCCGCAGCCGCTGCGCGCTTTTCAGCGGGCCCCTCGTACAGGCGGTCAGCGCCCTGGTGGGCTTCGCCACCGAGCCCCAGTTCCTGGGTCGAGCCGCCTCCGTCAGTTCCGAGGGCAAGGCGGTGCAAACCGCTATCCTCGGTGGGGCCATGAGCGTCGTGTCGGCCTGCGTGCTCCTGACCCAATGCCTCAGGGATATAGCCCAGCACCCCGACGGGGGCGCCAAGATGACAGACCACAGGGAAAGGCTGAGGAATTCAGCCTGCGCCGTCTCGGACGGCTGCAACCTGCTATCTCAGGCACTAAGGGAGAGGTCTTCGCCCAGGACTTTACCGCCAGTGAATTCCAATTCTGTGAATTAACCCTATCCCGACCGCCCCCCCCCACCCCCCTTCTCCAGTTTATTCCCTTCTTGCCCCTGATTGTGACTACAGAAAAATACTTCCCTCCCTACCCATTTATACCAAAGAAATCGCTTAGATGAAGTTCACCCCTCCACACCCCTTTTTTCTCCCTTTCCCTCTACCCCACTTGAAATTCACGAGGGAAATACCATCAAAAGCATCACCATAAGTAGAAACAAAAGTGAGGGAGAGTCTGACCTTGGAAAGTTTTATACAATTCCTGGGAGTGGGGAATGGGAGAGTTTTAACCGTGCTGGGTTCGGTTTCTTTTCTTTTCTGCCACCCTCCCACCCCTATTGCCAACTCTACAACCATTCTTTCAGAAATTCCCATCCACATCTTACTGTTAAATTGTGCAGGAAGGAGATTATAGATTTTTTTTGTCCTTTTTTTGTTGTTTTAAAGGTTACCTCAGTTTCACACATTAGACATGGATGTAGCTACCTTTTTGTATGTGGTTTTTTTTTTTAATTGAATGTTGGGTTAGAAGTACACTTGGTGTGGAAAGAGTGAAGGTTATGAGTTTTTTGCCATGTGTTTTGCGAATTGGGGGAAAGCTACTGTGAGTGTGTTTTCAAAAATTTACACTATAACAAAAGTGATTTTTTTCCCCCAATGTCAGTTTTTATCTTGCATGTACTGGAGTATTTATTTCATCTATTAAAATGTTATGTTTCTCAGATGTCTTTTGGCCATTCTTGTTACCTATTTAATAATTTTTTTTGGTTAAGTGGAGGTGTTTAGGCCTTTAAATTTTACCCTTTCACCAGCTGCAATAGGACAGAAATTTGAATTGGTTTATCTTCTGCCTCCATCCTTCCTACCCCACCCATTTTTACTTTTCCCTTTGAGTCTTTGTGAAAATGTCACATGGTTCGTGTAGAATGCTAAATTGTGTACAGAAGGTCTGTGTGGAACAGACCTTCATCTGGTCAAAACAATGAAGACTGATCAATGTTTCTGGATTCTAGCATTTAGTTCTGTAGCTCTTGAATGGCTTTTGTCTTGTGTGTAAGTCTTGAAGTCTAATTTCTGTGGGAAAGTAATCCCTCCCAACCCCCCATTTTCTACCACCTCATTTGAAATAATGGGAGGATTGATCACTGACACATCTGCTTTAGGTCTTAGATGATTATTAAAGCCTGTTGATTATTTTATGTTCCCTTTCAAATTAAGGCAAGTTGTGTGTATCTTGAGTGGCACCTGTGTTTCCTGTCATTCAAAATGGGTGTGTTTGGCCCACAGACACCCTTAGATTGAACCAGAGTTCAAACTGACAAAATTCGGAAACATTCTTGGTGCTTATGTACAAGCACAATTGTTTGGGAATTGGAACAATCTAGATATCCCAAACTATTTAATTATGGGTAGGAGAGTTACAGAATGTCCTGAATTTGCTGCTTGCTACTGCATTAGGGCAGTGAAGTGTTGGGTTGTGACCTAAAAAAATGTTCAGGATAGACTTAGCGACTTAATAAAATTCCTTCTGTGGTAATAATAATAGCTACCATTAATGTAGCACTTATGCATGCTAGACACTGTGTTAAGCACTTTACAATGATTATTTCACAAACAATTATTCTCAACAACCCTGGGAGGTAGGTGCTAGTATCACTTCCATTTTATGGTTGAGAAACTGAGGCAAACAGGTTAAGTGACTTGCCCAGGGTCACAAAGCTGGTAACTATCTGAGACCAGACTCAGCATTCTATCCACTGAGGCATCTAGTTAGGTAGTGGTCCATGTTCTAGATTTGGAATCAGACCACCAGACTGAAAAATCCCCACTCTGCCATTCACAACCTGTGTGACTTTGGAGAGTCACCTCAGCTCTAGACTTCAGAATGAGGAGGTGGGACTAAATGACTTATAAGGTCCTTACCAGATGGTAGTGTCTAGTTAAAATCTAGGATCCCATTAACAAAGTCAGTGAAGGCCGTGGACATAGTATATGTTTTTCCTTCTTGTTAACTTAGAGATTACTGTGTTTTATGGAATTTAAGAGGTTATATGGTTTCAGTGAACCTGTGTTATATTTTAAACACTTTCCCACTGGGTACATAAAAATTTCGGTTTAGCTTGACCCTTTAGTACTTGTAATCTATCACATTTTAGTTAAAACTGCATGAATACAATATTTTAGGCTTGTTCAAATATTTACTTTTATTTTTCCTTTAATTTTCTGTGGTATTAAAAACCCCAATTATATTTGTAGATGTAAAAATAAACTTCCAGAAGATCCCACTGTTATTCCATTGAGGACAGAAAAGTCATGTGTGTATATGATAGCACTTACTAAGAGCTCATTAGAAAGAATGAAAAAATATACATATATAAAATCTTTTTTGGATAGAAGACATATATATGTATTATATGTCTTCCATCCATAAAAGATTATGTATACATATATTCATCTATTAAAGGTCATGCATATGTTACATACATGTATGCATGTATATAGGCATTCCACCCCTATCCATAAAAGGTCATATGTGTGTGTATGTGTGTATTCTATTGTCTCTAATGAGGTCTTAGTAAATACTGTCATTATGAGAAAATCAGGCCCTTGATACATAAAGCTTCATTAAAACTGTATGTTCACATAATAATAGTGCTGATTTTGTGCCCTGAATTTAAAAGACTTTGTTATTAATTGTGATAGTGTATACTGGTTGTGATGGTAAGAAAGTGTATGGGGGATTATTTTGACATTTTTCACATTAGTACCAACTGGTTTTCTATATTTTCTGTTTAGTCAGAGAAATCATTTAACTTTTTAAAACATAAAAATACACTTGGATAAGTAATTTTATTTTCTTTATAAAATATTACATTTCCACATGTTACAAAAATAGTCCCAAAAGTTGGTGTTTTACATACATTTAAGGATTTACATACTCTTTCTACTTAGGAGCAGGTCTTCATAAAATAAACAAGTTTAGTAATTATGTGTTTAGTAATTCGTAAACTAAATTAGTAATTAATTTAGATTCTTCTGGCAAAGATCAGGGCTTTCAAGTCCAAAACCTCTATTGCTATAGCCCTTGCGTTACCCAATGTGGAATGACTCTTTAGATTGATCAAATAAGCCAGTTACCAGCTCTTTGCATCTTGTTCTCAGTGTAAACAGGCCATGCTAAGGAGTGTTGAGGCAATTACCACTATAATTTATATCTCCAACAATTTACCTTTACTGAGGACTTTGATATTAACTACATAATTACCCAACTTCCATTTCACTTTATGTTATTTTTAAATATTTACTTGAAGCTTTCAAACACTTAAAAAAACCCGTTTATTTTGTCCAAATTATATTGTTTATCGTTAGAGATGTTTCAGGTAGAGGATTTGTCTCAAGTATTCATAAGGTCTCTAATAAAAATAAATTTTAAACAGCATTTTTATAATGCTTTAAGATTCGCAACACTCAGACATTTCACTTAATCTTCCCATGTTTACTGATCATTCCCATTTATAAAGGAAGTGAGACAGAGAGGTTAAATATATTTTTGTACATATTTAAACCCTAAATTTGTATGTGAACAAAGCAAAAAGCATGTCATGCATCCTTTTCAGTTGAAAAAAAAAGGCCAATTGTGATAATACTGGAGAGATTCTGAAACACTTATTTTTAGCTATTGAATTAAATTTTTCTATTGAAGAATTGGAGTAGATTCTTTTATTGAAATTTTGCCTTTGGGATAGAGGTACAACTCTGTTTCACTGGGATTTTAGTCTGAACAAGGAAGTATTCCAACAGATATTTTAGACCAGGTATTCTGACCAGTCTTTTATGGGTCAGAAGCAACTGTGGTATGATGGAATAAATCTTGGAATCCCCAAGTCAGAGGACATAGTTCAAATTACAGATTTGTGTCGGAACCAGGCTTATTAGCATAGGGAACTCCCAGGTGAGGAAATTATTTCTGCCAATGCTAGTCAGCACCTTGTCTGCACCTTAGGGCCTTGGAGAGTTGTTTAGAGCTAAGTGACTTGCCCAGGGTCACAAATCCTTTATGTGTCTGGTACATCCTGAGCCCAGATCTTCAGCTTCAAGTCCAGTTAGTTCTCCCCGCTATAGGCTATGCTGCCTCATACATATACTCTGTAAGATCCTAAGCAAATCACTTTTCCATCTGGGCCTCAGCTGTAAAGTGGAGGTAATACTTTCACTACCCGCATTTTAGTGGGAAAGTGTTTTGTAAACCTTGCAGAACATTATGTAAATGTGAGTTGTTATTTTTCTAAGTGCCCTTCTTTTCTTTGCTAGGAGAAAGCTCCCAGTGTGTAGTCTTTTGTTATTTGGCTGTTTTCACATTCACTCCTGTAGTTAAAGAATACATACTTTGTTTTTCAAGCTGTTCCTGAGTTTTTGTTTTAAAGTTTTATTGCTGTCCTTTGTTTTCCTGATACACACCCCAGCACCTTCCACCCCACTCCCACTTTGTTTCCCCCCTCTAGTAACAAAAACAGTTAAGCAAACCTACAGGCCACTACATATAACATTCCACACCCAGAGCCCCCCTTCTCAGACACTTGTTTCTCTGAATTCCTGATTCATTTTTTACCACACTGTTAAGAGTCTATTTCTTTAATGACCATGGTTGGTTCAGCCATTGACTAGACACTGGGCATCTACCTTGTTTTCAGTTTTTGCTGTCCCAAAAATCACTGCTGAGAATGTCTTTATATCAGTGGAGCTTTTTTGTCTTTGACTTCCTTGGAGTAGGTTTTTGGGTCAAGGAGCATGAATAATTTAGTGACTCTTCTCACACAATTTCAGACTTTTACAGAATATTTAGACCAGTTGATAGCCCCATCAGTACCATCGTAATGTACCTGTCTCAGTCCCTCCTACATTCACTAGTTCTGTCTTTCATTGTCTTTGCCATTACTCTTGAATTTAAAAAGACCCACCACCACCACCAAACCAAAATTATTTGAGTGAGAATTACAATATCAATGCAAACAATACTTAATAGAAGTATAGGTGTAGAGCTGGAAGGGGTTAAGTGGTACCATGTAATCCAACGCCTTTATTTTATAGATGAGG